CACGTACGGCCTTGGCAGAGTGTGTTTGTTGGGCATTGTCACCATTTCTTGGGGGCTTCCAACCAGTTCTGGCAACCGTGTTCTCCACATCATCTCCTCTTGCAAATTTTGCTATAAATTCCTCCTCGGTAGCTCCGGCCTGTTAACAGAATTCTTTCCCGTCCTCTTGTCCTCCTTTATTTGCCATCAGCGAGGGCTGTGCTGTGATTCTGTCTCTGAGTGACTGGGACCACTGACCTTCAGATTTCCAGCCTTAAAATCCGCCTTCCTTCTCATGCGCCTCTGCCTCTCTGAATCACAACTTCACCATTCCAGCCTCCATGTCCAGATCTTCTCAGTCTCTTTCCATCACTCCTGCCCCTACCACCTGTCGCGGAATAACATCCAAGAAAGACGCCTTGCATATCCTTTCAGTTTGTGTTTGCTTCTCCCGCATATTCTCTTCAGTGCTCTGGAAGCCTGCCCTATGCTTGTGAGTTCAGGGCCAGACACACTTGCAGGTCTCCACACTGGGTCCCTGTCTCTGGTGCCCACAGAGAACTCCTTCTTTGCTGATCAGGCATGGAGACTATAGATTTCCAGATTGCCCGAAAAGTAAAATTTTACAGCCTTGTCTCTCCACAGCCTCACTAAATGATTGGCCAAGAATTCTGTCATCTGGCTACTCAAGGCTATTGGGAAATGGGGAAAGTCTGCACTGGCAGCTGGCCAGGAAGAAGGTGGCTCGACATGGATGGAGAGTTAGCCAACCTGTAGGGTCTGAAGAATGGGAAAAGTGGCCAAAAATCCTCCAGAATGCTTGACCTGTCGAACCAGAATGTTTTTCTATTTAGTCTCGGCCTATATTCATGCACTTAAGCAGTAAGTAGTCATGGGCATGCTGACAAAGAAACACTTCTGTTTCCTGGTTGCAGTCTCCAACTGGATCTGAGGAAGTACTGAGTTTGCTTCAAAGACGTTTTTTTTTTTTTTTTTTTTTTGAGCCAGAGTCTCTGTTGCCCAAGCTGGAGTATAAGTGGCCCACTCTCAGCTCACTGCAGCCTTTGCCTCCTGGATTCAAGTGATTCTCCTGCTTCAGCCTCCTGAGTAGCTGGGATTACAGGTGCCCGCCACCATGCCTGGCTAGATTTTTTGTATTTTTAGTAGAGATTGGGTTTCATCATGTTGGCCAGACTGGTCTCGAAATTCTGACCTCAGGTTATCTGCCTGCCTCAGCCTCCCAAAGTGCTGAGATTACAAGTGTGAGCCACTGTACCCAGGCTTCAATGACTTTCTAAGTGTGATGGGGACAGCGAGGTAGGCAGCCACAGTAGATGATTTCAATCATGGAGCCCCAGATCCGTGTACATGAGAAGGTAGAAGGCAATTGTAGCTTTGGTTCCAAGGACAGCACAGAGAGGACTGTGTGTTATCCCTTGAGGGACCATTGCTACAAACCAGTGAGTGCTAAAACTTAAGTCCTATAAGAAAGGTGAAACCCACTTTATTTGGGTTCTGTAGAAAATGTAATTTGCAAATGGACTCTCTTCAGTCTGTATGGTTCTGAAGTTCTCTGTGCAAAGGATTTTGTACTAATGAGTAGGAGGTATGTATCCACATCAAAATGTCCCCACATGTACATGAGAATGGAGACTTTAGTCTTACTAAGAGGTGCTGAATTAACCTGAGCATTCATGTGTAGTGTTCCTTTGTGATGCCTATGCCACTCTTTGGCAATCTCCTACCTTTTCACTGGCATTAAGGTTTAGAAAAATGCAAGGTTGGTATCGGGATGGAGTAAAGAGAGTACACTGTGGGGAGTTTCCCCTTCTGGGGCCTCCACAATCTGCATGTAATTAAATGCCGCATATAAGATAAACATAAACAAGAAGAGTACGTAACACCCACAGAACCCATAGCTTCCCATAAGTAGAAAAGAAGACACCAGATTGTAGCAGAGCGATCTCCCGAACTCCTGCTGCAAGCCTTTATGGAGACCTAATGAGTCTGGAAATATTGTACATAGGAAGCAGGTTCACTGTGAATGGGTTACCAGTTTGTCTGAGTCCAGTGAGATGAAGCACCACCCTTCCCTCCAAGTTATATGAAGGGAATTAGTGGCCTAAAATAATAAAGTCTTCAAAGGAAGCCAAAAAGTAGAGGAAATGTAACAGAATAAGTGGGAGAAATAGCAACCTGGTAGACTTAAGCACATACACTCGGATTGAAATACAAGATTGACAGGCTTGAATAAAAATTTCAAGCTGATTGCTCTTTCTTTCAGGAGACATACCTAAAATATGAGGATACAGGAAGGTTGAACATGAAAGGATAGGAAAAGATAGGTCTTTTTAGACAATGAAAAATAAAATTGGAATGGTTAGTAGTAATGGCAAACCAAATAGACTTTGGGTGAAAAGTATTACCAGAGGCAAAATAGGTCCTTTTATAATGAGGATTAACTTCCCTGGAAGATATAAAACCTAAACTATAATTGTTCATATATACGCATTTAATGAGTAGCCTATGCATATAGAGGAAAAATGGCTATAACACCAAGAAAAAATAGAATTATAGTGGAAGAGCTATAAAAACATCTTAATGAAAAATTTCAAACATTCACAGAAGTAGAGTTTCTTTATGCCAAACATTCAGCTTCAGTGATTACTAACTCCTTGCAAATTTCTTGTATTGCCACCCACATTTAACCTTGTTTACCCCCACAACCTATTATTTTGAAGCAAATCTCAGAAATCATAAGAGTGAATCTGTAAATGTTTCAGAATGTATCTTAACGGCCAATAAATTTCTTTCTTTCTTTCTTTCTTTCTTTCTTTCTTTCTTTCTTTCTTTCTTTCTTTCTTTCTTTCTTTCCTTTCCTTTCCTTTCCTTTCTTTTCTTTTTTTTTTTTTCTTTTTTTTTTTTTTTTTTTTTTTTTTGCGGGAGGAGGAAGTCTCCTTCTGTTGCCCAAGCTGGAGTTCAGTGGCACAATCTCGGCTTACTGCATCCTCCACCTCCCGGTTTCAAGTGATTCTCTTGCTTCAGCCTCCTGAGTAGGTGGGACCACAGGCACACACCACCATGCCTGGCTAATTTTTGCATTTTTAGTAGAGACGGGTTTTCACTATGTTGGCCAGGCTGCTCTTGAGCTCCTGACCTCATGATCCGCCTGCCTCAGCCTCCCAAAGTGTTGCTGCGATTACCGGCGTGAGCCACTGTGCCCAGCTGGAATTTCTTTATATTTACAGCCATAATTACTTAGAACTCTTCTTCAGAGCAACAATAACTACTTAATATAATCAAATTTTGGGTTCAAGTATCTCTGATACTCCTATAATATTTTAGAGTTCTTTGGAATCATGCTATTTAAAACATTAACGAATCTGATAACTAACTCTTCATATCTCTTTTCATTTTATTTTTCTTAGTAACATTTGCCATTAATGTACTATATATGTTATTTCTTAGAGTGTTTAGTATCAGTTTGCCTGGCAGAACAATGCCTTGGATAATAAATGGCTATCAGCTGGGCATGGCAGTTCACGCCTATAATCCCAGCACTCTGGGGGGCCAAGACAGGTGGATCACTTGAGGTCAGGAGTTCAAGACCTGCCTGGCCAACATGGTGAAACCTGTCTCTACAAAAAAATGCAAAAATCAGGTGTGGTGGTGGACGCCTGTAATCCCAGCTACTCCGGAAGCTAAGACCAGAGAATTGCTTGCACCTGGGAGGCAGAGGTTGCAGTAAGCCGAGATCGTGCCACTGCACTCCAGACTGGGTAACAGAGCGAGACTCCATCTCCCCCACCACCCCCCAAAAAAGCCATCAATATAATTTTTGAATAAATAAAAATCTTGGAGTTTGATAACAAATCCTTTATTTTGCTAATGTATTATGAACAATACAAGAATAATAGACAAACTGGAGCCCTGTGATGTCTGGTAAACCTTGTCCTTCTCACACTTCTCTCTCTTCAGGCATGGTTAGGTGAGGGATACACAAATGCATACAAATGTAATGCTTTAAATTCCAATGAGAAAAAATAACAGCTGTAGACTGAAGAAGGCAGGGATAATACAAGCAGAACCCAAGGACCCACTGCAATCAAGGATTTCTCTGCTTGTTTAGAGTTGCTCTGAAAGCCTTTCCTAAAGCAAGTCTTAGTTTGAGGAGAGAGTGTGCGAAGGGGACTACCGGACACAGTGATCCCTGCCCTCCCTAGGGCTGACATTGCAAGGAGGCAGAATTACAAGCTGTCTTGAGCATGTGCTCTTGGAAATTATGGAAAGATTCACCAGTCCTATTTCAGGATGCTCATTCAGAATGATAGTCTCAGCTTTTGAATTTCAGCCCCCCCAGGTACAGGCCTAGACTTCCAGAGTTAGGACTCTAGCCTTCGGAATGTTACCTTCTAAAGAGGCACTAAGAGAGAGAGTCCAGAGATGGTAGACTGATTCCCCTTGGGGATTCCCTTCTAGGGTAGTCTTGGGCTTAGGACATCAGCTCAAGATTAAGATTTTTTTTGGAGAGGACGTCTCATTCTGTTGCCCAAGCTGTAGTGCAGTGGCACAGTCTCAGCTCATTGCAACCCCCACCTCCCGGTTTCAAGTGATTCTCTTGAATGAAGATTAAGCAAGTGTCTCAGGAAGTAGATCATGAGGATGGCAGTATGAGGTAATAGAGGCAGTTAGACGGAAACTAGAGTAGGTAAATTCACAAAGCCTTGGCCAAAGAGAAGTGGGTCCCGTGGAGATAGAGCTTTCATCAGCGCGATTTACTGGGGTCCCTGCCATTCCTGGCTCACAGTAAGGATTTTCCAGGCGGGTGGGCTGTGATCACACGGGCAGAGAAGGGTTAAGGATGGGCTCACGGACCCCTCCTATTGACTGCTGGTAGTTTGGTAGAGTGAGAATAGATTACCCAATGGAGCACGAGGGAGGAGGGGCAGCGGGCAAGAGGGGATGGACAGAGGAGAAGACTGGCAGGATCCTCTCTCCTACTTTTTCCCATAGCCAGTGCCTTTGGCGCACTGAAGTGCACCGGGTCCCTTAGCCCGGCGCAGAGCGCGCAGCCCAGGCTGAGATCCGCGGCTCCTGTGGAAGTGAGCATGGCTGGGCAGTGCGTGCTGCTTCTAGTGGGGTTCCTTCTCCCTGGGGTCCTGCTCTCAGAGGCCGCCAAAATCCTGACAATATCTACAGTAGGTGAGTGCTTGGCCAGAGAATTCCCAGACAGGCACATCCCGGATACCCGCGCCACCAGGGGTTCAGCGAACAGAGCTTGATCAGTCATTCAAGTGATTTTCCAGGCGAGGCTTGCGGATCCGGCTGGAGGAGGGAGAAGCCCATCCAGCTGTGGGGCAGAGAGGGGCCTCTGTTGCTGAAGGGGGCAAAATAGTTTTGGAAAAAAGAGACTCTCTTTCCTCTCTCTTCCTGTTCAGGACGCGCTACCCATCGGACAGTGCTGGGGCCAGAAATTTGAGATTCATCCCAGAGCTTGAGATCCTGGGCTGCCTTCTCCAGGGCGCAGTGGGACTTTCAGAGGCTCAACCTAAGCTCCACAGGGTGTGTGTTTGGGAGTGCGCAGCAGCTGCCAGTGCAAACGATGGCGAGTGTTTTCATTCTCTTGGAGACCAGGGAAAGGCGCTCTTCGAGGGCAGCACTGCAAATTCTGTGAAGCTCATTCAGAGCCAGGGTGGCAGAGGCAGGATATTTCAGGGCTGCAAGGCCAGTGGAGTGTTTTTCTTCAGAGGAGACCTGGAGAACCGCCCAGGGCTGAGGAGAGGACCCAGATCATTCGAATCTTTCTTCCTTTTACCTGTGCCGCTGACAGTTTTTGAGGGATTCATGGGACTATTAATTCTGCATTTTGGGCCTCGGCTTTCTTTCTTTTATTTTTACCCCAAAGGGAATAGAAGATGAAAGAGAAATATATATGAGCATAAAGGGATCACCCCAGGAACGACCTTCCCCAAGACTTCACTTCAATCCATAGTGGGTTCTAATGGATTCCTTTTAGATCACAGAGAATCAGGTCTCATTGAGCTGGAAGGAACCACAGATCATCTAATTCAGTGCCAATTTTGATTTCCTGAGAGGGCAACTGAGGGACGGGGAGTGAAATGCGTTTCTTAAGAGTGCATGTGGCCTCCCTAATGTCCCAAGAGGAATTAACTCAGGGTTTCTTGCCACAAGACCACACTCTCCACAACTTCCACTCTGAAGCCCTTTTCACTGGGATTTTCAAAAATCACTGTTTAAGAAACCATGCCAGTCCACCTGAAGACTTTCCCCCGTCTTTCTGAGTGTTAGTAGCAGTAAAGCAACAGAACTTCTTAACTTCTTGAAAATACATGGCCCTCCTTCCTCAGACTCCAAGAGGGAGCTGGTGTCGTTTCTGAGGTGCTGGAATCCTGGTCTTTGCCCCAGAATGTCATCTGACTCCCCAGGTTGCACCATGAATGGGTGTTTCTGTGGGGACCCCTTCTTCCTGGCTCCCTGTTCCCACATGGATTAAAGTGAGCACGACCTATGGCAGATTTGTACTTGTTGCTTTAGATTATTCAAGTCTGGGTATAAGTAAACTGAGTCATTCAGAGAGCTGCACCTACTTCTCTACTCCCCTTCCACCCCCACCCCCAAACGTCTGGTGTTTACCATTACATTACCTTCTCTTCTGATCTTCCTTTCTCTACTGCTGAGATCCTTAGAGTCAAATGAAGGCTGTGTTATTAGAACATGTACTAAGAGAAGACGTTGATTTCATGAAACTTGTACCTCTTTTGAGGATCAAGTTTCTCTTTCCTTAGGATGGTAGGATTTTCATGGAATCAGTGGTTCCCTAGTCTCTTGTGCAACCAGGATCCAGCAGGCCCACCACAAGGGCTCCCCAGTTGTCCTCAAATGTCTTAATTAGAACTTGATCATTGTTTGCCTAAAGTGAGTACATTCTTTTCAAATACATTAGAATCTTAAGGATTTGGGTTCTAATTAGTGGCCCCACATTCCTTCTGTCCCAGTGATGATTTCCTGGACTGATCTCTTTTAATTATCTCCTATAGCAGCATAAATGTCCAAAGAGCAGGATCCCAGAAACAGCTCTCATTGATTGTATTTTAGGAAACATTCATATTCATATGTACAACACCACACCTGTATTTCCACCCACGCAGTTATTTCTTTTGGACTCTGTGTCTCCATAAGGCCTTAGTTAAAATGTTCCTATACCTTAGGATGAGGAACTCCCACGGCCTAAGTCCATAGTAGCTCATTACACTGACATGGATACTGTGAATCACAAGAGGCAATCTCTCATGGAGGCGAACCACAGGTAAGGATTTGGGCAGCCATGCTCTGGGTGAGTGGGCTGAGTTTTACCCAGAGGAATATGAGACTGGCAAAACTCATTTTCCTCCACTCACTATCCATGTCCTGTTTCCCTACCTTTCCTCTCCTGGATTTATCACTACTAACTTCAGACACTGTGTTCCAATCATTACAGAACTAAAGCTGTTAATTATTCCTAGGTGGAAGCCATCATCTACTGATGGATCGGGTATCTCAGATTCTTCAAGAACATGGTCATAACGTCACCATGCTTAACCACAAAAGAGGTCCTTTTATGCCAGGTATCTTTTCTCACTTTTCTTGATTTCTCCTACTCCAAGCAAAGAGCCAAATGCCTTTTGCATAGAAAGGCTTAGCAAAATGTTTTTTAAAAATTGAATTCAATTGGAAAAATGAAAAGGGTGTGTGTGTGTGTGTGTGTGCACGTGTGTGTGTGTGTGCACGCATGTGTGTGTGTGTGCCAGCACGCATAAAGTGCCAAAAAGCTTCTTAGGCTTGATTACCAGGACTCAACACTCGATACTCCCATTTTTTTTTTCTCTCTTGACTTCTACTCCATCCCAAGCAACCGTCTGCTCATTATTACAGATTATTTTAACAATACTACTTTATAACATGGCTTAAAAAATATATGGAACAGGGCTGGGTGAGGTGTAATTCCAGCACTTAGGAGGCTGAGACAGGTGGATCACTTGAACCCAGGAGTTTGAGACCAGCCTGGTTAATATAGGGAGACTTTGTCTCTAAAAAAATACAAAAATTAGTGGAACACAGTGGCACCCACTTGTGATTTCAGCTGCTTGGGAGGCTGAGGGTGGAGGATCATTTGAACCAGGAGGCAGAAGTTGCGGTGAGCTGGGAATGCACCACTGCACTCCAGCCGGGGCAACAGAGAAAGGCTCCATCTCAAAGACTGTCTCTCTCTATAGATACAGATGGAGCGGAAATATTCAGCCTTATTTAACACTTCTTTTATGTAAGAATCACTTTTCTTTTTATAGATTACTGTTCCTCTTTTTGTGATATCTGGAATTTAAGTAAGCTTTCTCAGGGGGGCCCTTATTTATGCAGCTAAGTTAGAAATCTATCACTGAGATGGTCTTGCATTCTTAAAAAATAAATGGTTGCCCATGAGTTTCCACATAGGGATTTCAGATGGTCTTAATGGAGTCATTAAATCCAAAGAATTTCACCCAGAATGAAGCTTATAAATCTTATCAACTCTTCTGTTGATTCACAAGGAAATAGAAACCCTGAACTTAACAGATTTGCTCAAGATTTTATTGGTAACAGAGTTGGGTGGATTTAGGTTTTATGCTCCAAATTGCTCAATATGGAAGTGTTGCTCAGGGAAAAGCCCAAACCCCAGCATCATGCAGTACACCCATGCAACACATCTGGACATGCCCCTCCTAAAGCTGTAATTTAAAAAAGAAAAAAAATCCGAAAGTAAGCATCTTTGAGGAACAAAATTCTGAAACATTATAAATCTTTGAAGGTAACATCAAGCTTTGCTGTTGTTCTTTCTTTCTTTCTTTTTTTTTTTTTTTTTTTTTTTCTTTTTTTTTTTTTTGTGACAGTCTCACTCTGTCAGCCAGGCTGGAGTGCAGTGGGATAATCTTGGCTCGCTGCAACTTCTGTCTTCTGGGCTCAAGCAATTCTCTTGCCTCAGTCTTTCGAGTAGCTGGGATTATAGGCATGTACCACCATGCCTGGCTAATTTTTGTATTTTTATTAGAGACAGGGTTTCACCATGTTGGCCAGGCTGGTCTTGAACCCCTGACCTCAGGTAATCTGCCCGCCTCAGCCTCCCAAAGTGCTGGGATTACAGGCATGAGCCACCATGCCTGGCCAAAACTGTTTTTTAATCTACATTTTTTTCCTCTAAAATTTAAAATTTTATTGTGGTAAAATATATATAACATACCATCTACCATTTAAACCATTATCTTTCTTTCTTTCTTTCTTTTTTTTAAATTGAGACAGAGTCTCACTCTGTTGCCCAGGCTGGAGTGCCATGGCGTGATCTTGGCTCACTGCAACCTCCATCGCCTGGGTTCAAGTGATTCTCATGTCTTAGCCTCCCAAGTAACTGGGACTGTAGGTGCACGCCATCAGGTCTGTGCCACCATGCCTGGCTAATTTTTTTTGTATTTTTAGTAGAGACAGCATTTTACCGTGTTGGCCAGGCTGGTCTCAAGCTTCTGACCTCGGGTGATCTGCTTACCTTGGCCTTCCAAAGTTCTGGGATTACAGTCAGAAGCCACAGCACTGGGCCTCATTTTCAAATGTAAAGTTTAGAGGCTTTAAGGACATTCACGTTGTTGTACAACCATGATCACCATCCCTCTTCAGAAGTTTTTCATCATCATGAAGGGAAACTCTACCTACTAAACAGTGACTTCTGTTATTTACCCTCCACCTTCAGCCCCTCATAACCATTATTCTATCTATTTCTCTATTAATTTGACTATTCTGGATACTGCATATAAGTAAAATGATACAGTATTTGTCCTTTTATGTCTGGCTTTCTTCACTTAGCATAATGTCTTCCAGGTTCATTCATACTGCAGCATGTGTTAGAACTTCTTTTGTATGGTTGGATAAATATTTAATTTTATGGATACAACACATTTTGTTTACCCATTAATCCATTGATGGATATAGCAAAAGGCTGTTCAGCCACATAATTGGCTTTCTTTCTTTCTTTCTTCTTTTTTAAAGAAGAGGAAGAAAGAGAAAGAGGAAGAGGGAGAGAGGATGGGGGTATTGCTTTATTGCCCAGGCTAGAATGTAATCTAAATATGTGTATACCTATAATTGTCCTTAATAATGGAGATATAAAAGAAAATGAGGGAAGAGAATAACAAGGAGCCAACCAACATTTCATTTAAACTTCTAAGTTGATATGACGTGGTACTGATAAGAGTGTATATTTTGTATATTTCAAGTGGAGAGTTCTATAAATGTTAATTACATTTACTTGTTCCAGATCTGAGTTCAAGTCCTGGATATCGTTGTTAATTTTCTGTCTCATTGATCTGTCTAATATTAATGTTGAAGTCTCCCACTATTATTATGTGGGAGTCTAAGTCTGTTTATAAGTCTTATATGTCTCTGTATTCCTGTATTGGGTGCGTATATATTTAGGATCTTTAGCTCTTCTTGTTGTTGCATTGATCCTTTTATCATTATATAATGTCCTTCTTTGCTTCTTTTGATCTTTGTTGCTTAATTGTAAATTCTGCTTTTTATTTATTTATTTTAGCTCTCTGGTTGGTAAATCCTTCTCCATCCCTTGTTTTGAGTCTTTGTGTATCCTTGAATGTGAGATGGGTCTGGATGCAGCATACTGATGGGCTTTAGTTTTTTATTCAAATTGCCTGTCTGTCTTTGGATTGGGGGATTTAGTCAATTTAAATTTAGAATTAATAATAATATATGTGAATTTAATACTGCCATTTAATATTAGCTGGCTATTTTGCCCATTAGTTGATGTAAATTCTTCACTATATTGATGCTCTTTTTGGTATTTTTTTAGAAAGGCTGATACTGTTTGTTCCTTTCTATGTGTAGTGGTTCTTTCAGAAGCTCTTGTAAAGCAGGCCTGGTGGTGATGAAATCTCTGAGTGCTTGCTTATTCACAAAAAACTTTATTTTTCCTTCACTTGTGAAGCTTAGTTTGGCTGGATGTGAAATTTTGGGTTGAAAGTTCTTTTCTTTAAGGATATTGAATATTGGTCCCCACTCTCTTCTGGCTTGTAGGGTTTCTGCTGAGAGATCTGCTGTAAGTCTGATAGGCTTCCCTTTGTGGGTAACCCGATCTTTCTCTCTGGCTGCCCTTAGTATTTTCTCCTTCATTTCAACCCTGGTGAATCTGACGATTATGTGCCTTGGAGTTGCTCTTCTTGAGGAATATCTCTGTGGTGTTGTCTGTATTACCTGGAGTTGAATATTATCCTGCCTTACTAGGTTGGGAAAATTTTCGTGAATAATGTCCTGAAGCGTATTTTCCAGCTTGGATTCATTCCCTTCGTCACATTCAGGTACACCTATCAAGTGTAGATTAGGTCTTTTCACATAGTCCCATATTTCTTGGATACTTTGCTTATTCCTTTTCATCCTTTTTTCTCTAATCTTGTCTTCTTGTTTTATTTCATTGAGTTGGTCTTCGACCTCTGATATCCTTTCTTCTGCTTGATCAGTTTGGCTGTTAAAACTTGTGCATACTTCATGAAGTTCTCGTATTGTGTTTTTCAGCTCCATCAATTCACTTATATTCCTCTCTAAATTGTGTATTCTTGTTCACATTTCATCAAATCTTTTTTCAAAGTTCTTAGTTTCTTTGGATTGGGTTAAAACAAGTTCTTTTAATTCACAGAAGTTTCTCATTATCCACATTTTGAAGCCTGCTTCTGTAATTGGAACACACTCGTTCTCCATCAAGCCTTGTTCTGTTGCTCATGAGGAACTGTGATCCCCTGCTGAGGGAGAGGCGTTCTGATCTTGGGTATTCTCAGCCTTTTTTGGCTGTTTTCTTCCCTTCGTTATAAATTTATCCATCTGTGGTCTTTGTATTTACCGTCTTTGTAATTGGGTTTCTGAGTGGACGTCCACCTTATTGATTCTCAGCGCCGAAATCTGAGCAACCCACTGCGCGGACTAAATCAGTGGCGTTAAGATTGATGGTGCTTTTCTGATTCTACACCAAGAACCGACGCTTCGAGGTGCCAGCAAAACCGCCTTACGGGTCACAAGAGTCGCGCTGGCGACCCGTGGGGCTCCTCCGCTGGGAATCTCCTAGTGCGTGAGCAACAAGAATTCATGTGAAGGTGTGGCGTCCTCTCGTTCTTTGTGCTTTCACTGGGAGTTACAATCCCGAGCTGCTAGTGGTCGGCCATCTTGGATCTCTCCGTAATTGGCTTTCTCTATTGTGACTACTTTTTTACTATTATGAACAATGTTGGTACGAACACTCATACAAATGTCTTTTTGAGTCCCTGCTTAAAACCATTTTAATATGTTTTAATTAGGTTTTATATTCTCCACTGAACATCATTTAGCCCCCTTTGTGTCTGCCTTAACTGGATATCTGATTAAATAGTTGTAGTATACTCATTTTTAAGACAATTATTTCTTAATTTCGAGAAGTGTAACTAAATTAAATTGATTTAAATTAAAAGTTCGATTAAAAATGAATGGTGGCAGTTCCAATAAACTTTGAGAAACTACTGGCCAGGTGTAGTGGCTCACATCTGTAATCCCAGCAACTTTGGGAGGCTGAGGTGGGAGGATAACTTGAGCCCAGGAGTTGAGACCAGCCTGGGCAATATAGTGAGACTTCATCTCTGCTAAAAATAAAATATTAGCTGGGCATGGTGGCATGCTCCTGTGGTCTCAGCTACTTGGGAAGCTGAGGCACAAGGATTGTGTGAGCCCTGGTGGCCGGAGCTGCAGAGAGCCATTATCACACCATTGTGCTCCAGCCTGGCCAACACAGTGAGACCCACTGGATGGATTACACCCAGACTCTTACCCACACTTGATGTAGATTATTTGGATGATGTGATTTGGGACTTCTGAGGTGATGAGATTTAGATGAGATTTTTCACTTTGAATTGATGATATAATTGTTTGAGACTTTGAGGGATGTTGGGATAGAATGAACACATTTTCATTCCATGAGGGATGTATATGAATGTCTGGGATCTAGAGAACACAGTGTGGTAGGCAAATAATGCCCCCCTCTGAAGACATACATGTCCAAATTCCTGTAATTATGATTGTGCTATTTTGCATAGCAAAAGGATCTTTGCAGATGTGATTAATATAAGGATTTTGAGACAGGGAGATTATCATGGATTACCCAGGTGAGTCCAATGTAATTATAAGCGTTCTTATAATGCAAGCTTGTCTAGCTCATGACCCACCAGCTGCACGCGGTCCAGGACTGCTTTGAATGTGGCCCAACACAAATTCATAAACTTTCTTAAAACATTATGAGATTATTTTTGCTATTTTTTTTTAGCTCATTAGCTATCATTAATGTATTTTATATGTGGCCCAAGACAATTCTTTTTCCAATGAGGCCCAGGGAAGACAAAAGATTGGACATCCCTGTTATAAAGGAAAGAAAATGGTAGGAGAGTTAAAGAAGTGGTGATGAAAGAAGAAATCAGAAGCAGATGTGGTTGATTTTTGGAAGTGGGCCATGATCCAGGGATGCAGGCAGCCTTAAGAAACTGGAAAAGGCAAGAAAATTGATTGTTCCCTAGAGCCTTCAGAAGAAATGTGGCTCTACCCACAGCTTGATTTTATTCTAATGAGACCCATTTTGAACTTCTTTTTTTTTCAATCACTGAGGAGAGGGTTTCTGGTGTGAGGCTTTGCTTCTAAGGAACTCAGGCAAGGGACTAGTTTTATTCGGTTTCTCTGGAATCTAGTCCCAGGAGACAGAATCATGGTGCTTATCTATGCTCGCCTCTTACCTCAGGTCTATCCAATTTTCTGGAATGGCTTTTCATCTGATCTTTGCTACTTGATACCACTCTTTTTTTTTTTCTGGACCCCCAGCCCCTAGAAATTCTAATTTAATTTTTCTGAGATAAGACCTGGGTATAAGTATTTTTAAAAATCTCTCCTGGGGACTCTAAAGTGCAGCCAAGGTTGAGAACCACTGATCTAGATATGTTGGATTCTTTGCATGAGTAAAAGAGCTAATTGTTTCTCCTCAATTCTTAGCGAATGTCATGATTGCTGCAGGGAACTTAGCACTGTTTGGGGTTAAGAGCATATATCTCCTTAAGGTCTATTCTTTTCGTAAGGTTCTTACATCTGTTTCTATAGCTCTGGCCCTTAGTAGTCATTCAGTTCTTCATAGTAGCTTGTGCTCTGTTACCCTTTTGAGTAAACATATGTTTTTCTTTTAAGTAAATCAGTAAATAAGTTAGCAGTTCTGGTGAGGTAGAGGGGGGATTGGAAGCCTTGTTAGAGATGTATTTTTATGAACGTATGATGCTGCTTTTTTTTAAAGAAAAAAAAATGAGGGAAGAAAATAACAAACAAGCCAACCAATATTTCATTTAAACCTATGAGTAGGTGTGATATGGTACTGATAAGAGTGTGTATTTTGTGTATTTAAAGTGGAGAGTTCTATAAATGTTTATTTGTTCTGGATCTGAGTTCAAGTCCTGGATATCCTTGTTAATTTTCTGTCTCATTGATTTGTATAATATTGATGTTGAAGTCTCCCACTATTATTGTGTGGAAGTCTAAGTCTCTTTATAACTCTTATGTATCTGGGTGTTCCTGAGGCCCATTTTGGACTTCTGATCTCCCAAACTATAAGATAATACCTTGTGTTGTGTAAAGCCAATGACTTTGTTGTAATTTGTTAAAACAACAATAGGAAACTGAAACAGCCATAACAGGTGCTCAGAAGAACTCCAGGTGGCATGAAAGGAGGACGCTTAAGCCTTTACAGTGCAGGTGTCTCTGGGAGGCACTAATGAGAGCCTGTTATATTGCAACTTGGATAGATTCTGGAGCCTTCTGTTCCAGGAGATCCTATTCAATGTGGGCTGATTTTTAAGTAATAAACATTAGTGGACCTAAGTAAAATGTACAAATAAGGAATATGTTGTCTTTAGAATGCAAAAAGGCCTAAAAGATGTTGGGCTTGTAACATTATGGGCACAGGGAGGCTCAATAGTTGTTTCTTAATAGTATTGGGGATGGAGAGGCCTTCAACTAACCAAATGATACTTTGGAATGTAATTGAGGGCCTGGGTCTGATACTTTGCATAAGACAATGGCTTATCCTCTTCGTGAGCTCCTTTTTGAATGTTTCTGTGTCTTAAAGGCGTGTGGCAAATGAATCTCCTCAGAGGAGGACACCCTGAATGTAATATTTTATCTATACTCCTGAAGAAAACTGGAAGCAGTGGATCTTGCAGGCAAAGATTGTGGGCAATAGTAAGGCTGCTGAAGTACACCATGGTTAGCAGGCATTGTGTTTCTTCCAAGGTAAAGACACACTGTGGCTGTTAAAATCAGCATGGAAAAGAATATGCTGGCTAACTCTATGACTGTTAAAGGATTTGCTGGTAGATATTTGGATAGAGTCTTTCATTTCAGTTAGCTTGAATATGAGGACCTTAATATGTGTGGGACTATGTGTTAATATACCCCCAATCCTTACACAGAATTTGGTTTGGGTGTCATCTGATGAAGGCACACTATGAAAGGTTTATGACTCATAGGGTGAGGGTTTTTTTTTTTTCCTTTTTGGAATAGCAGGACAGGCTACCAGGCAAATCAGAAAAATGGCTTTAGAGAGCAGGGAGGGATGACTGGCTTGAGTTCTTATTGTGAGGAGGGGTTAGGATGGGCTGAGGATTTCCCTTCATTGTCCTGACTTGCATGGGCTGAAACTCCTACCAGGGATAAGAGAGAAGGTGTAGGTTTTCTTACCAGTTTGCTCAGATGAAGCATAGGAAGGGGAAGGGGAAATGGGGCTTGAAATTTGTCAAGAGGCAAACAGCGAAAATGGAGTCTGACTTCTTATTAAACGTGGGTAGTGAAGAAGGGCCAAGCTGGTCAGTTGAGGTGATGGGGACTACTCTTTCAGTGAAATCTGTTAGTACTTTTTGACTGAATTTAAAAATTGTTTGCATGTATCATTTTAAATAATAAAAATAATTGTTTTGTAAAACAGAAAGAACAGAAGCTCTGGAATCAAAAAGACGTAGTGTATTTAAGTACAAACTCTACCACTTTCTATGAGTGTAATTTTGACAAATTATTTTAAACTAAATTAACCTTTGTTTCCTGGACCTGTAAAATGAGACAAATAGCTATACTTTTAAATTGAACCTTCTATAACTTTAAACTGAAAAAGAAATCTTGAATTATTGTAACGATTTCAATAAATTTTCATCACTTTATAAGATTGAATGAGAAAGCAGCAAAATGAGGTAAAAAAACACTAGGCCCAGTGGCTCACACCTGTAATTCCATGGTTTGTGAGGCTGAAGCAGGAGAATCACTTGAGGTCAGAAGTTTGGATCCAGCCAAGGCAGTATAGAGAGACCCTGTCTCTACAAAAAAATTAAAAAAAAATTAGCCAGGTGTGGTCATGCGTGCCTGTATTTCCAGCTACTTGGGAGGCTGAGGTAGGAGGACTGCTTGAACTCAGAAGCCTGATACTGCAAAGAGCTAGGATTGTGCTATTGTACTCCAGCCTATATGACAGAGTAAGACTCCGTCTCAAAAATAAATGAATGTATACATTAAAAAACATTTAAAGAAGCAACCATTCAAATAAATAATCTTTGAAATAAGTTTTGATATTGTTATGCTAATGTCACTCTTTTGTGTAGAATATTTAACTTGTTTTAACCTGTTGCTGTTTTCTTAAGATTTTAAAAAGGAGGAAAAATCATACCAAGTTATCAGTTGGCTTGCACCTGAAGATCATCTAAGAGAATTTAAGAAGAGTTTCAATTTTTTTCTGGAAGAAACTTTATGTGGAAGGTAATTGTTTTTTTTAATTCTTTGAACCAAAGAGTCACTATTTAATCATACAAATGAATGGATGGATGCATGGGTACTTGGAAAGAGGATAAGAGTAAGTGATGGATGGGTGGATGGATGGATGGATGGATGATGGATGGACAGATGAATGGATGGATTGACAGATGGAGAGACAGATGATAGGGGGAGTAGATGAGTATTGCATGCCACATCATTCAGTAAAGTTACTGGAAATTCTTTACTCTGTACTATCTTCCTTACACTATAAGCATGAATGTTTTTCTGTAGAAAGTGGGAAATTGCTTCTCCTGGACTTCCTTGCAACACTTCACCTACAATCATTGCCTATAATCTCCCCAACACAGAAATTTGGATAGGTCCCTCAACTTTTCATTCTTGGTGGGAAAATTAGAGTCACCTTTTCCCACTTACTGTCTTCCTTTCTTCTCATATATACTCATAAAAAAAAGAAGGCTTATGAATATTGCTTTTATAGAAGTTAAACATATAGCCATGCAACGTTCTTTTAAAAAGCAATCAACCTGATACAAAATGAAACATGAAACTGACTCATTTTGCTTAATCTGGATGGGAAAAAACACATAACTTTTAAATTTTAGACATAAAAGAGAAAACACAGAAATCCAGGCCTATCTTTGTTAATCACAGTGGCCTTACCTCCTCTTCTTTCCTTGAAAATTCTACTCAGTAGTCGAGGTGGTGCTCAAATCTGACTTCTTCCATAAAGCCTCCCTCCTCACCCAAGCTGGAGCACTGCATTCTCTCCTCTATATTGGATCTAACGCACCTATTTGACACTTAGCCTTATCATCTTGCATAGTCAGTTACATATTTTAAGCATATGCCTTGCCTCTTCTTACCCAGTTTAATATTTTTAAGGACAGGTGTGGGTAAGAGTGCATTCTTAAAATATTTTATTAGCAGCTGGGCGCAGTGGCTCACGCCTGTAATCCCAGCACTTTGGGAGGCCGAGGCGGGTTCAAGAGATTGAGAACATCCTGGCCAACATAGTGAAACCCCATCTCTACTAAAATATAAAAATTAGCTGGGCGTGGTGGTGTGCGTCTGTAGTCCCAGCTACTCGGGAGGCTGAGGCAGGAGGATAGCTTGAACCTGGGAGGTGGAGGTTGCAGTGAGCCGAGATCGAGCCACTGCACTGCGGCCTGGCACCTGGCGACAGAGTGAGACTCTGTCTCAAAAAAAAAATAAATAAATAAATAAAATTTTTATTAGCTTAATTATAAATATGACTAATTAACTACATTCTAAAAAGTTTTACTACATTACTAGTTTTTTTTTTTTTTTGAGATAGAGTTTTTCTTTTGTCACCCAGGCTGGAGTGCAATGGTGTGGTCTCGGCTCACTGCAACCTCTGCGTCCAGGGTTCAATCTATTCTCCTGCATCAGCCTCCCAAGAAGCTGAGATTACAGGTGTACACCACCATGCCCAGCTAATTTTTGTATTATTAGTATTGATGAAGTTTCACCATGTTGGCCAGGTTGGTTTCAAATTCTTAACCTCAGGTGATCCACCCATCTTGGCCTTCCAAAGTACTGGGATACAGGCGTAAGCCACCGCGCCCAGCCCATTACTGAAACTTTCAAAAATGTTTGGCAACCATTCCTTTGTTATGTGAATCTTTAAACACGTACAGCAGAGGATGACTTCAGCCAATCTGTATATCACTAGTGAGGGAACTTCTCTAACTGGAGGGCAATGGTAGAGTGGTGTACAGATTACATGAGTGTTAGGGAATTGATTCAGTCTTCCATGCAGTCAGTAGTTTTCTGATATCTAGAGCTCTTGCACTGATTGCAGCTGGCCTAGGCATCCTCACCTATTTCCCCAACATTCTGTAAAAGAGGATCATATTCTATGCAGGCACTACTGGGAATACATTGCAAAAGAATTGTCCCTTTGCATAGATAGGCACATGTCAGTAAAGCTTTGACATTATCTTATCTGAACACCACAGGTTGCATTGAGGTAGAAAGAAATAGTCATAATAAATAATTAAATAAATAATAAATAAAAATATGTAAAATAAAAATATAAGTAAACAATAAAGAAAGAAATAATAATAAAGAAAACAAATAATGTGTTTCAAAAATCAGGTTCCCTTTGTTTTTGTTTTTTCCATTGCTTAACTCCAAGGGATAGAAAGGTGGAATTCTCATTTTCAACTGAGATTTTTGGTTGTAATGTAATCAAAGAGTTCCTTGGTTGAGGAAATCTCTCCTATGCAAACACACAGTGCTAAAAACATAGCACATATCATCAATACTGACAAACTCTATCATCAAGTTACTTACACAATTTGGCTGGGTAAATAAGAAAATCACTCATAAAAAGTCCATATGTAAATGAGGGCTAAACAGAATGTCACCTAATTTATCAAGGAGACAGAACTGTGAGATCTGCTACAGTCAGAGATGGATCTCAGAGTGGAAGGACCTTGAATCAGCATTGATGGTGGTTGGGATTTGGATGAGGGGAGAAAAGGAGAAGGGAGAAAGGTACGCTCTAGGGAGCAGAAACGTTTAAGCCAGGATAACCATGGCAGAGAGCGTTTGTGGGAAACAGGTTGTATATGTGGGTGACTGCTAGAAAGGTTGTTGCTTCTCCGGGATATTTTTCTTTGTATCTCAAGATACTTTGATGTATTGTAAATTTAACACCTCCATGAATATTCATTACTTATTTTTTTCTTACAGAGAAAAATTCGAAAACTTATTAAACATTCTAGACTACTTGGCGTTGCAGTGCAGTCATTTTTTAAGGAGAAGGGATATCATGGATTCCTTAAGGAATGAGAACTTCGACATGGTGGTAGTTGAAACTTTTGACTACTGTCCTTTCCTGATTGCTGAGAAGCTTGAGAAGCCATTTGTGGCCATTCTTCCCACCTCATTCAGCTCTTTGGAATTTGGGCTACCAAGCCCTTTGTCTTATGTGCCAGTCTTCCATTCCTTTCTGACTGATCACATGGACTTCTGGGGCCGAGTGAAGAATGTTCTGATGTTCTTTAGTTTCTGCAGGAGACAATGGCACAAGCAGTCTACATTTGACAACACCATCAAGGAGCATTTCACAGAAGGCTCTAGGCCGGTTTTGTCTCATCTTCTATTGAAAGCAGAGTTGTGGTTTGTTAACTCTGACTTTGCCTTTGATTTTGCCCGGCCCCTGCTTCCCAACACTGTTTATGTTGGGGGCTTGATGGAAAAACCTATTAAACCAGTTCCACAAGTAAGTGAACCCTTACCATTCAGTTTGGAATTCACAGAGGCCTTCAGTGCATAGTTGGTGGCTGCCACCTGCCAGTGGGATCCTGAGGCTGAAGTGGGGATAGGCAATGGAGGCACCTAGGGCATGATTTTAAAGGAAGTGCTGAATTTCAGGGTTGGGCAGGTACAGTGTTAGGCCTTGCAGGATCCTGAGATCAAGGGCATCTTCATATGAGTTCCTCTGTCTCTTCTCTTGCCAGACCCTAGTCCTAGCCTTGGTAAAATAAGCCCTGTAGTTACAATTTTATTTTTTGTTTGCATTTTTATTTTGTATGATCACATGTACAATAAATATGTAGTCAGTGCCCATTACATGCAATAATTGTTAAGGAGATAAGTGACTCACAATGAAACAGACAACAATGCAGATTCAGAGTAAGCAGGGTGGGACTGCATGGGACTGACAGCAAGAGCTTCCAGTATTATTTGCCTATAGAGCCCTGGCTCTGGGCTCCACCTAGATCTTCTGACTTGATTTGTCTGGGGTGGACCCCTGCCACTGTAATTTGCAAATGCTACCCAGGTGACTTGAATGCACAGCACAGTTTCACAACTCAGATCCTCTGCTAGAGAAGTTTTCCAAAGGGAGGAGAGCTAAGATGAGTTGGCTGACTGTTGCCTCTGAGCACTGGGTTCCCATTTTAAAGAAGTTATCATATTTAATATCCTGCCACCAGTAGGGAGGTGTGATCATCTTCATTTTTATAAATGAAGAAGGACAGAAGCTCAGGTGATATAGGTGACATTCCCACCACCATGTATTTCAGAGGCCCTGAGGGCCTGGGCTTTCCAGACACCAAAATGTTCACTTTTCCTCCTCTGAACTTGCATTGGGTGAGCAGGAAGAGTTGGGGAATGATCTGTGGGTGATATGAGCTTTGCATTGGTGTCAGGAAGTTTTAGGAATGAAGCTGAGAAGGAAAGCACCCCAGGTTGGGGAGCAGGGGGACCAGTGTGTGATGATGTAGTTGACATGGCAATGAGGCTGGGTTCCCTGGGCAGTGCTGGCTAGACTAGTGCAGTAGGAGATTCAATTGCATGAGTAAAGCTGTGGGGATTTACCAGAAACCTTAGCTATCAGGTGGGTCAGGCCTCCACCACGGAGTAAGGGGAGGACATTGTTAAGAGGATAACAATGGGAGTAAGGGTTGTAATGGTTGTGAGACAATATACATTAAAAAAAAAAACAGTGTTTCTTCACTGCATCTTCCAATTTTTATATAATGGTTTATGCTGCATTATAATTATAAAAATGATGACAAGGCTGTTTTAAAGAGGTCCTTTGGAATGGTAAGTATTATGCTGGCTAGAATCCAGCAGGGGCTGAACCACTTAATAGAATGACGGGTTGGGAGCTGGGGTGAGCCCCTATAGGGCAGAGAGAATCAGAATCAGAGTTGAAAGAAATATTTGGAAGTTAGAATTGACAAAATTGTGCTCAACACAAAATTAAGACATTAGATACTGTGAGCCCAAGATATATGGCACTGGTCTTAACAATTTAGAAACTTTATTTGCCAAGGTTAAGGATGCACCCATGACAGCTTCAGGAGGTCCTAACAACATGTGCCCAAGGTGATCAGGGCACAGGCTGGTTTTAGACATTTTAGGGAGACATGAGACAACCATCAATATGTGGAAGATAAACATTGGTTTGGTCTGGAAAGGCAGGAGAGGGGGATTCTAGGTCACAGGCAGACAAGAGACAAACAGTTGCATTTTTTGGAGTCTCTGATTAGCCTTTCACTGAATGCACAATTTACAGATACAGTCACTTAGGCCTTAGTCTGGCTTAGTGAAACAATAGAGCAAAGGAAGCAAACTGACATATATTTGTCTTAGGTGAGCAGAGGGATGCTTAGGTGAGCAGAGGGATGCTTTTGAGTTCTGTCTGCTCTTTGTCCACAAGGAATTTTCTTTTGGGCAAATGGTGAAGGAGGTATGCAGCTTTTTTTAAAATTTTTTATTTTTTATTTTTTATTTTATTTTTTTTAATATTTGTAGCTACCATATTTAGGAATGGAATGGGAGGCAGTTTTGCCTGATGCAGTTCCCAGCTTGACTTTTCTCTTTGGCATAACAATTTAAGGATCCTGAGATTTATTTTCCTTTCACAACACTAACTTTGTTAAGTGCTACCGAGGGGACTTTATGATATAAGCTGCCAGGTCTGCTTTTGGGAGAGAGCATTACTACTTTTTTTTTTTTTTTGTGATCCACCACCTCAAGGCATTGATCATTTCTTTTTGATCATTGAACATTTAGATTGATTCTATATCTTGGCTATTGCGAATAGTGCTGCAATAAACATGGAATTGCAGATATCTCTTCAATATAGTGATTTCTTTTCTTTTGGGTATATTCCTAGCAGTGAGATTACTGCATCATGTGGTAGTTCTATTTTTAATTTTTCGATGAGCCTCTAAACTGTTCTCCACAGTGGTTGTACTGATTTAAATTCCCACAGTGTACGAGTTTTCTTTCTCCACATTTTTGATATTGCCTGTCTTTTGGATGAAAGCCATCACATTGCAGTTTTGGTTTGCATTTCTCTGATAATCATTGATGTTGAGCAAACCTTTTATATGTCTGTTTGCCATTTGTACATCTTTTGAAAAATGTCTTTTCAGATCTTTTGCTTATTTTTAAATCAGGTTATTAGATTTTTTTTTCTTATAGAGTTGTTTCAGCTTTTACGTATTCCGGTTATTAATCCCTGCTAGTAGAAGAATTTGCACATTTTTCCCCATTCCATGGGTTATCTCTTTGCTTTGTCATCATTTCCTTTGTTGTACAGAAGCCTTCTAACTTAGTATGATCTCATTTGTCCATTTTTGCTTTGGTTGTCTGTACTTTAGAGGTATTACACCAAAAAAAGAAATCTTTGCCCAGATCAACATCCTGGACTGTTTCCCCAATGTTTTCTTTTAGTAGTTTATAGCTTGAGTCCTTAGAGTTAAGTATTTTTCTTTTCTTTTTCTTTCTTTCCTTTTTTTTTTTTTTTTGAGATGGAGTTTTGCTCTTGTTGCCCAGGCTGGAGTGCAATAGTGCAGTCTTGGCTCACTGCAACCTCTGCCTCCTGGATTCAAGTGATTCTTTGTCTCAGCCTCCTGAGTAGCTGGGATTAAACGCACCTGCCACCACATCCACCTAATTTTTTGTATTTTTAGTAGAGACGGGGTTTCACCATGTTGGTCAGGCTGGTCTCGAACTCCTGACCTTGTGATCCACCTGCCTCGGCCTCCCAAAGTGTTAGATTTAAGTCTTTAATACATTTTCTTTGGTTTTTGTATGATGAGATATAAAGGTCTAGTTTTATTTTTCTGTGGATAAATATCTAGGTTTTTTTTTTTTCATCATTCATTGAAGAGATTGTCCTTATATTCTTGGCACCCTTGTCAAAAATGAGTTCACCACAGATGTATGAATTTACTACTGGGTTATCCATTCTGTTCTGTTGGTCTATGTGTCTGCTTTTATGCTAGTACTATACTGTTTTGGTTATTATAGGCTTGTAGTATAACTTGAAGTCAGGTAATGTGATTTTTCCAGTTTTGTTCTTTTTGCTCAGTTTGGTTTTGGCTATTCTGGGTCTTCTGTGGCTCCATATAAATTTTAGAATTATTTTTTCTCCTTCCGTGAAGGATGCAATTGGTATTTTGATAGAGATTGGGTTGAATCTGTAGATTGCTTTGGGTAGTATGGACATTTTAACAATATTGATTCTTCCAGTGCATGAATGTGGAATAGCTTTCCATTTAAAAAAATGTCCTCTTTGATTAATTGCATCAATGCTTTATAGTTTTTGTTGTAGAGATCTTTTACTTCTTTGTTTAACTTTATTCCTAAGTATTTGATTTTGATTGTGGGCATTGTAAATGAAATTACTTTCTTGATTTCTTTTTCAGATTATTCACTGTTTGTATATAGAAATGCTACTAATTTATATAGGTTGATTTTGTATCCTACAACTTTACCGAATTTGTTGATCAGTTCTAACAATTTTTTCAGTAGAGTCTTTAAGTTTTTCCAAATATAAGATTATATCATCTGCAAACTAGGATAATTTAACTTCTTCTTTTCCATTTTAACTGCCCTTTATTTCTTTATCTTTTCTGATTGCTCTAGCTAGAACTTCCAGTACTATGTTCAATAACAGTGGTGAAAGTCAGCATCCTTGTCAAGTTAGAGGAAAGGTGTTCAGTTTTTCCCCATTCAGTGTGATACTAGCTTTGGGTCTGTCATATATGACTTTTATAGTGTTGAGGTATGTTCCTTCTATACTCAGTTTTTTGAGGGTTTTTATCATGAAGGGACTTTGAATTTTATTGAACGCTTTTTCAGCATCAATTGAAATGATCATATTTTTTTCCCTTCATTCTGTTGATATGATGAATCACATTAATTGATTAGCATATGTTGAACTATCCTTGCATTCCTGGTATAAATCCCCCTTGGTCATGAAGAATGATCTATTTAATGTGTTATTGATTTTGATTTGCTAGTATTTTGTAGAGGATTTTTGCTGCAATGTTTATCAGAGATATTAGCCCCTAGTTTCCTTTTTCTGATGTGTATTTGTCTAGTTTTGGTATAAAGGTAATACAGGGCTTGTATTCCCTTCTCTTCTATGTTTTTTAGAATTGTCTGAGTAGGATTGGTATTAGTTCTTTCTTTCTTTCTTTTTCTTTTTTTAATTGCATTTTAGGTTTTGGGGTACATGTGAAGAACATGCAAGATTGTTGCATAGGTACACACATGGCAGTGTGGTTTGCTGCCTTCCTTCCCCTCATCTGTATCTGTCATTTCTCCCCATGCTGTCTCTTCCCACCTCCCCATGCCCCCTTCCCTCCCCCATTTCCCCCCAACGGACACCAGTGTGTAGTGCTCCCCTCCCTGTGTCCATGTGTTCTCATTGTTCAACACCCGCCTATGAGTGAGAACATGTAGTGTTTGATTTTCTGCTCTTGTGTCAGTTTGCTGAGAATGATGGTTTCCAGGTTCATCCATGTCCCTACAAAGGACACAAACTCATCGTTTTTGATGGCTGCATAATATTCCATGGTGTATATGTACCACATTTTCCCTATCCAGTCTATCATCGATGGGCATTTGGGTTGGTTCCAGGTCTTTGCTATTGTAAACAGTGCTGCAATGAACATTCGTGTGCATGTGTCCTCATAGTAGAATGATTTATAATCCTTTGGATATATACCCAGTAATGGGATTGCTGGGTCAAATGGGATTTCTATTTTTAGGTCCTTGAGGAATTGCCACACTGTCTTCCACAATGGTTGAACTAATTTACACTCCCACCAACAGTGTAAAAGTGTTCCTATTTCTCCACATCCTCTCCAGTATCTGTTGTCTACAGATTTTTTAATGATCGCCATTCTAACTGGCGTGAGATAGTATCTCAATGTGGTTTTGATTTGCATTTCTCTAATGACCAGTGATGATAAGCATTTTTTCATATGTTTGTTGGCCTCATAAATGTTTTCTTTTGTAAAGTGTCTGTTCATATCCTTTGCCCACTTTTGAATGGGCTCGTTTGTTTTTTTCTTGTAGATCTGTTTTCTTTGTAAATTCTGGATATCAGCCCCTTGTCAGATGGGTAGACTGCAAAAATTTTTTCCCATTCTATTGGTTGCCAAGTCACTCTACTGACTGTTTCTTTTGCCGTGCAGAAGCTGTGGAGTTTGATTAGGTCCCATTTGTCTATTTTGGCTTTTGTTGCCAATGCTTTTGGCATTTTGGTCAATGTTTGGTAAAATTCAGCATTGATGCCATTGGGTCTTAGGCTTTTCTTTGCTAGGAGACTTTTTATTACAACTTCAGTCTCATTACTTGTTATGGTCTGTTCAGGTTCAGGATTTCTTCATGGATTGATCTTGGTAAGCTGTATCTGTTTAGGAACATATTCATTTCTTCCAGGTTTTCCAAATTATTGGCATATAATTGCTCATAGATGTCTCTAATGATTTTTTGAATTTCTGTAGCATCAGTTGTAATGTCTGTTTTTTAGCTCTGATTTTATTTATTTGGGTTTTCTCTCTATTCTTGGTTTGGCTAAAGGTTTGTCTATTTTGTTTATCTTTTCAAAAACCAAACTTTTCATTTCATTAATCTTTTATATTTTTTAATTTTAAATTTCATGCTGTAATCTTTATTATTTCTTTCTTCTATTAATTTTGGGTTTAGTTTGCTCTTGATTTTCCAATTCTTTAAGATGCATCCTTAAATTGTTTATTTGAATTCTTTCACTCTTTTGATGTGGCACTTACAGTTATAAATTTTCCTCTTAGTACTTTCACTGTATCTCATAGGTTTTGGTATGCTGTGTTTTCATTGTCATTTGTTTCAATAATTTTTTGAATTTTCTTCTTAATTTCTTCATTGACCTACTGGTCATTCAGGAGCATATTGCTTATTTTCCATGCATTTGTATAGTATACCGAGTTTTTCTTTTTATTCACTTATAGTTTTACTCCATTGTGGTCTAAGAAGATACTTCATATAATTTCAATATTTTGAATTTCTTAAGAGTTGTTTTATGGCCTAATGCATGGTTTATGCTTAAATATGGTCCATGTGCTGAGGAGAAAAATGCCTTTTTTACAGTCATTGGAAGAAAATTTCTACAAATATTATTAGGTTCATTTAATCTGTAGTTCAGATTAAGTTTAATGTTTCTTGATTTTCTGTCTGGATGATGTGTCAAAAGCTGAAAGTGTTACATTTTCCATCTGTTATTGTATTGGGACCTATCTCTCTCTTTACCTCTCATAATGTTTTCTTTATATGTCTGGGTGCTCCAGTTTTGAGTGCCTATATGTTTATAATTGTTACACGTGCATGCTGAATCAACCTTTTAAAAATTGTATGATAACCTTTGTCTGTTTTCATGGTTTTTGTCTTGATATCTATTTTATCTGATGTAAGTATAGCTACTCCTTCTTTTTTCTTGATTTCCACTTGCATGGAATAGATTTTTCTATCCCTTTATTTTCAGTCTATGTGTTTTTACAGGCAGTATGTTTCTTGGAGGCAACAATGTTAAGTCTCTCTTTTTATTCATTCAGTCGCTCTGTTTTGATTAGAGTTTCCAGACCCAGGCCAGACACACTCTAGTTCACGGTGGATGTGTTTCATTTTGCTAATGACTCCAGAAATATGATATACATCACCTGCCACCTGAAGGTCACCCTAGCTGAGCAGGACCCAGATAAATTGAACAAAGCCTGTTCCTTCAGCAAGCCTTCCAACAGCTGATTCCCAGTGGAATGCCCAGCTGACATCTGCCAGTGCTGTAGCAAGGGTGACTGTGGCAGTCCAAGCCATGCCATGAGGCAGCCCCACGTCGTGAGCCTGGGGTCTAGTTCATCTGCCCATAACTGCAGGCGTGTGACAGAAGAAGGAGATGTCACCGTGGGGATGCTGATCTTCCTGGACAGGACTGGTGACCACGAAATGGAGCAGTGGGCCTTGCCGGCTGACACCTCATTGCTGCTGCTGGGCACAGGCCTGGCTGTGGTGGTGTTCCTGACTCTGACTGCTGTTATCCTGGTTCTCACCAGGAACTGTCGCACTGCCTCCCATCCTGTGTCTGCTTACCAATAAAAGACAGCAATATCAAAAAACAAAAACAAAAACAAAAACAAAAAGACACACACAAAAAAACTGTTTTGATTAATTAGTCCATTTACATTCAATGTTATTATTTGTAAGTAAGGTCTTATTCCTGCCATTTTGTTATTTGTTTTCTGATTGTTTTGTGATATTCTCTTTCTTCTTTCCTTTCTTCTTGTCTTCCTTTTAGTGAAAATGATTTTCTCTGGGTTGTATGTTTTAATTTCTCAGTTTTTTTTTAATCTATCTGTTGTAGGTTTTGTGATTTGAGGTTACTACAAGGTTTGCAAGTAACATCTTATAAACCATTATTTTAAACTGATGAAAACTTAACTTTGATTGCAAAAAGAAACAAATAAGCAAAAAAGTACAGTAATAAAAATTCTACACTTTAACTTTATCTCCCAGTCCACTAAGTTTTTGTTGTTTCTATTTATATCTATATTGTCTAAGCTCATTTATTCTTTCTTCTGCTTGATCAATTCTTTTATTAAGAGACTCTGATGCATTCTTCAATATGTCGATTGCATTTTCAACTCCAGAATTTCTACATTTTTATTTTTAATTCTTTCAATCTCTTTGCTAAATTTATCCGATGGGATTCTGAACTTCTTCTCCGTGTTATCTTGAATTTCATTGAACTTCCTGAAAACAATTATTTTGAAGTCCCACTCCTCGTGTTGGACCCCACCTACCTACTAATGTTCTTCCAGATGCTATTACCTCTAGTGTGACCTTGGAAAACTCCTGTGCCTCCCTGGGCCTATAATGGGTGGAAGATCAAGAAGGCCCTAATACTAGGGTCAGGGTTTCAAGGAAGAAAGATGTTCCCACCAACACGTGACCACAACACAGCTAGTATTAAGCTATGCTAGGAGCTATGATAATAGCTTTGGGACAGTGAGGACAAGGCACTGTGTTAGTAAATAATCTGACTTTCATTTTGTGGTCAACTAAGCTTCCACCAACAATTTTGTCACCTCTTTACCTTGGTAATCTTTCTCCAGGACTTGGAGAGCTTCATTGCCAAGTTTGGGGACTCTGGTTTTGTCCTTGTGACCTTGGGCTCCATGGTGAACACCTGTCAGAATCGAGAAATCTTCGAGGAGATGAACAATGCCTTTGCCCACGTACCCCAAGGGGTGATATGGAAGTGTCAGTGTTCTCATTTGCCTGAAGATGTCCACCTGGCTGCAAATGTGAAAATTGTGGACTGGCTTCCTCAGAGTGACCTCCTGGGTAAGAGCTGCCCAGGTCTGCTCCTCTCCTTACACTGACCTGTATTTGGGGCTCACTGGGGCTCTGACTTTTAGCTGGACATTTGTGCCAACCTCAGAAGGAGCTATTGAAAGACACAGATGAGGCTCAGTGGACAGAAAAGTAGCAACCAGCTAGATTTCTTGGGAAACCAGGCTTTACTTCCAATGGGATCAGATGCCAAAACAGCCATCTTTCCTTCAATCTTTTCTATCCCAGGCCTGATGTCTGTAGCCCTATGTGATATTCCTGTCAAGTCTCTTTAACTCTACTCCATTTGGTCTTGGACGATGTCACCCAAACAAAATTCAAGACAACCTATCAACTCTGAATGTATATACCAGAGGTTGGGAGAGTTGCCACTCTCTTTAGTGACTTCATGAGCACCGGTTTGGCCACATGCACCCAGAGAAGCAAACATCCACACATAAATGTGGACACATTCTCTTAATTTACTAAGGGTCTAAGCAATTTCTACCATCACATCATTAATGCCAATGATGTCTTTAGGATGTGCCAACATACCTGTGTGCCAAGCTTGGCAACTTCACAGTTGGTGATTTTATCTACTGAGTTGTTTGGGACCAGAGAGCTCCCTCGCCCCTAGTAGGTTTTCTCTGTGCCCAATGCTGCTTCCTAAAGACACCACACTGCCATAGCCACTGACTAGAGCAGAAGTTCACAACCAACACTACGACTCAAAAGAATCTGGGCAATTTAAGTTGTAGATTCCTGGTCCTACTTCTGTAAACATAGTTTTTAAAATTCTGGGGTGGGGTACATGCCTTCCATTTCAAAGAACAGACGAGTGTGATGCACACTGCCATTGAGTGACCCAGGTTGAGACGTGTTTGTCATTATCAACAGCTACTTTAGTTAGCTCTAAAGCAAAACAAAACCAAAGCCGGCATGGAAAGACAGGAACTGGAAATACAGGGGGTGAAGGATCCAGTCTACTTTCAAGGGGCTTCTCTTATAATTGAGGATACCATACAATCAATACGAGTTTTATCAGTGACACATGAGTTGTGATGTCAACGAATATGTCAGGAATACAAGAAAATGGAAATTAGCTGTCAGTGGGTAAAAGAGGGCTCAACATAGACAAAGGAGGTAAAAACAGAGAGGGACACACAGAATAGAGGTAAGGCAAACAAAGAGAGGCACAGGGAGGACAGAGAGAATGAAGAATGGGTGGATAGATGGAGATGTGTGCCTTGCTCAACACTCTTCTCTATAGAATTCACTCAGTTCTAAGCCTTAGCTGAGTTTCTGGCTGAGGAGAGATGTTTCCATAAGATAGCAATGCTTGGAATCCTGTATCTTGGAACTGTAACCTTGGATGTGTACCAAGCACAGTCATTAGATGCAATGGCTCCAACACACCACTAGATCCCCTTGGCATTTTCTTATGCCCTTCATTTCTGCCTGATGTTTTGAAAGTTTCATCCTAAAATGTCCCAACTTCTTTCTTATTTACAACAGCTCACCCCAGCATCCGTCTATTTGTCACTCATGGTGGGCAGAATAGCATAATGGAGGCCATCCTACATGGTGTGCCCATGGTGGGGATCCCTGTCTTTGGAGACCAGCCTGAAAACATGATCCGAGTAGAAGCCAAAAAGTTTGGTGTTTCTATTCCATTAAAGAAGCTCAAGGCAGAGACACTGGCTCTGAAGATGAAACAAATCATGGAAGACAAGAGGTATGCAGCTCTCTGGGGTTTTGGTCATAAGGATGAATGAAGGCAAAAACATTAAGTGCACTATGGGAATCTTTTTGTTGTTGTTGTTTGGTTTTGTTTTGCTTTAGATTAAAACTGTATTTTCTAGGACATGGAATAATATGTGTGTGATGCCAACAGCTGACCTGTGTCCTCTGAGAGCAAGAGCATTTAAGTTAGATGCTAAGAATCATTTCCTATCTTTTCATTTTGGGGAAACGTGAAGCCTGTGCCTGATATTCCCCAGGGTGAGGTTTGTCACCCCATTTAGAGACTGGCACAATGTAGGTGCTCCATGTATACATATAATAATTACATTTACAGAATTTTCCTAAGCTACACCATAAGACTCCTTGCGGACTTAGTTACTTTTTTGTAGTTTCAGACTTTATTTTTTAATTTTTTTTTTAAAGACAGAATCTTGCTCTGTCACTCAGGCTGGCGTTCAGTGGCTTCAGCTCACTGCAACCTCTGCCTCCCGGGTTCAAGCGATTCTCCTGCCTCAGTCTCCCAAGTAGATGGGATTACAGGCATGCACCACCATGCCTGGTTAATTTTTGCATTTTTAGTAGAGACCGGGTTTCACCATGTTTGTCAGGCTGGTCTCAAACTCCTGACCTTGTGGTCCACCTGTCTCAGCCTCCCAAAATGCTGGGATTACCGCACCCTGCCGTAGTTTAAGACTTTTAGCCTTAAACATGGATCTTCGCATGTAGGTGTTATGATTAAACTTTTCAAGGGAATCCAGATAGATTATTGCAAAGCCAGGCCAAAAAAATTTCCTTGAAACTCAGCCTTTAGTGCATCATATAGAATGGATCACACATTCTAACTCTTGTGAGGTCACATTAGTAATGCCCCTCTCTATCTCTCCCAACAGGTACAAATCCGCAGCAGTGGCTGCCAGCGTCATCCTGCGTTCCCACCCGCTCAGCCCCGCACAGCGGCTAGTGGGCTGGATTGACCATGTCCTCCAAACAGGCGGGGCGGCGCACCTCAAGCCCTATGTCTTCCAGCAGCCCTGGCATGAACAATACCTGCTTGATGTATTTGTGTTCCTGCTAGGGCTCACTCTGGGCACTCTGTGGCTTTGTAGGGGGCTGCTGCGCATGGCTGTCTGGTGGCTGCGTGGGGCCAGAAAGGTGAAGGAGACATAGGCCAGGTACAGCCTTGGCGGGGTCTGTTTGGTGGGAGATGTCACCATTTCTAGGGGGCTCCCCACTAGTTTTGGCAGCCCTGTTCTCCAGTCCTTCTGGTTAGCTCCTGTTTTCTTGAAGAACAGGAAAAACGGCCAAAAATCATCATCTCCACTTGCAAATTTTGCTACAAATTCCTCCTCGGTAGCTCCGGCCTGTTAGCAGAATTCTTTCCTGTCCTCTTGTCCTCCTTTATTTGCCATCAGCGAGGGCTGTGCTGTGATTCTGTCTCTGAGTGACTGGGACCACTGACCTTCAGATTTCCAGCCTTAAAATCCGCCTTCCTTCTCATGCTCCTCTGCCTCTCTGAATCACAACTTCACCATTCCAGCCTCCATGTCCAGATCTTCTCAGTCTCTTTCCATCACTTCTGCCCCTACCATCAGTCACGGAATAACATCCAAGAAAGTCGCCTTGCATATCCTTTCAGTTTGTGTTTGCTTCTCCCGCATATTCTCTTCAATGCTCTGGAAGCCTGCCCTATGCTTGTGAGTTCAGGGCCAGACACACTTGCAGGTCTCCACACTGGGTCCCTGTCTCTGGTGCCCACAGAGAACTCCTTCTTTGCTGATCAGGCATGGAGACTATAGGTTTCCAGATTGCCCGAAAAGTAAAATTTTACAGCCTTGTCTCTCCACAGCCTCACTAAATGATTGGCCAAGAATTCTGTCATCTGGCTACTCAAGGCTATTGGGAAATGGGGAAAGTCCGCACTGGCAGCTGGCCAGGAAGAAGGTGGCTCGACATGGATGGAGAGTTAGCCAACCTGTAGGGTCTGAAGAATGGGAAAAGTGGCCAAAAATCCTCCAGAATGCTTGACCTGTCGAACCAGAATGTTTTTCTATTTAGTCTCGGCCTATATTCATGCACTTAAGCAGTAAGTAGTCATGGGCATGCTGACAAAGAAACACTTCTGTTTCCCGGTTACAGTCTCTGGCTGGTCTTGAGGAAGCACTCAGTTGTCTTCGATGACTTTCTAAGTGTGATGGGGACAGAGAGGTAGGCAGCCAGAGCAGACGATTTCAATCACGGAGCCCCAGATCTATGTACATGAGAAGGGGGAAGGCAATTGTAGCTCTGGGTCCAAGGACAGCAAGACAGGACCATGTGTTATCCCTTGAAGGACCATTGCCACCAACCAGTGGGTGCTAAACCTTAAGTAATATAAGAAGGATAAAAGACATCCTATTTAGTGTTCTGTAGAAAATATGATTTGCAAATTGACTCTTTTCAGGCAGTGTGGCTCTGAAGTTCTCAGTGCAAAGGATTTTGTACTAATGAGCAGGAGGTATGTATCCACATCAAAGTGTCCCCACAGGTATGTGAGAATGGAGACTTTAGACTTACTACTGGGTGCTAGAATTAATCTTAGCATTCATGTTTACTGTTTCCTTGTGAATCCTACCCACTCTTCGTTATTCTCCTCCCTTTTGACTAGCATTAAGGCTTAGAAAATATGTAGGTTGGTATCGGGATGGAGGAAGGAGCACAACACTGGGACTTTCCCTTCTGGGCCCTCTATGATCTGCATGTAATGAAAGGCTGTATGTGTGATAAAGATAAACAAGAAGAGCACATAACCCCCACAGAACCCATAGCTGCCCAAGAGATGAAACACCAGATTATAGCAGAGCTATCTCCTGAATTCCTGCTGCCAGTTTTTATGAAGACGAATGAGTCTGTAAATATTGTGCTTGTGAAGCAGGCTCACTGTGTGCTGGTTTCCAGTTTTTCTGAGTCTAGTGAGACTGATCATTTCTACACACACAAGTTAGATGAAGTGGGCATATTATTTACAGATTGGCAGCAGGGGACAGCAGAAGTCTAGGATTTATTGCCAGCTGATGCCCCAAGACTCAGGCACTTCCCCAGGGTGGATGGCATCTCATCTGCCTGTGCCTCATTTGCACCACAGCAGAGGCACATGGGGAAGCAGCCCACCCTGGCTTTATACTGCAGGAACAGCATGGCATACTGGGCTACAGTATTGAAGCACCTCCTGTTTTGGGGGGACTGGAACACAGCCCTGGCTGTTTTTGGCAGACCCTCCCTATATCCAGATGTTGCAGATCCAGCACACTCTCCATTATTCTTGTGACCTGCAAACCATAGCTACAATACTGTTCACCAGGGCCAAGCCGACTACTACTACAAGGAGGATGGGCAGACCTGCCTGGGCAGTAACCTGGCCTGGGATCCCTGGGATCTAGGTTAGAAGTTGCTAAAGGGCTCAGAGAAGATTCTTTCAGTGGCTCTACTGTCTGCAATCAGATCTGCTCTACTTGTGTTTGAGCAATGCCTGAGTTGTTTATCCAGGTACAGCAGGAACTGTTGGCAGTTGCATACACTCTTCCCAGCTGGGCTAAAAGTCAGTCTAGAGCAACTGTGTTGTCTAAAATAATCTCCCCAGGAGAGTTCAAAGCTACCAAAGTAAAGGAAGCAGTAAAGGAAGCAACATCTGCCATGGTCAGGGACAGGTTTATGATTATTTCTTTAGGAGCGCTGACTCCTATGCATGCTATCGAAGATCTCATAAAGAACGTAAACCTAGAGTCAGTTATTCCTTCTGATATAGCTCTAGGCGTCCTGGTTTACAGCTTTAGGCTGCTGGCCCAGTGATGTGTCTCATTCCCAGGAGTGGTTTATATGGGCACCCCCAGCACGCAGGACCCCACCATCCACTAGCTTTTCAGGCACAGACATTGTCCATCTCATTTTTTGGTCACCCTCAGACTGCCCAAAGAGAAATATGTAGCTCTCAGGTGTACATAGCACCCTTTCTCCCATTTTATTGTTCAGTGGCCTACTCATGGGTATGAAGGCACAGCCATTCACAGCTAAGTCATGTTGCATGAGCTCAGTTTCACCCCTACACTATTGTTTATAAAGTCACTTCAGAAGGCTGGCATTGTTGCAGTCCTTGTGTTCGTCATTGCCATTGGGACACTTATCTTTCATGTAATCAAATGAAAGTAGTGTGTTGGGCTGGGCAGGATGGCTCACACCCGTAATCTCAGCACTTTGGGAGGCTGAGGCTGGTGGATCACCAGAGGTCAGGAGTTTAAAACCAGCCTGGTCAACATGGCAAAAACCTGTCTCTACTAAAAATACAAAATTAGCTGGGCATGGTGGTGCAGGCTTGTAATACCAGCTACTTGGGAGGCTGAGGCACAAAAATCACTTGAGCCTGGGAGGCAGAGATTGCAGTGAGTAGAGATCATGCCACTGCACTCTAGCCTGGGCGACAGCAAGACTCCATCTCAAAAAATAGAAAAAAGAAAACAAGAAAGTAGTGTGTCAAACTATTAGCCTACCATGGTTTTACTAATTGTGCTTATGATGTTTTGCCACCTCAGGCCAGTTAAGTTAAAATGGGGCACCTCTGGTTTCCTTTCATGAGGCAGGTGCCAGATCCTTACTTGGCAAGCCAGGGCTTGGTGCCTGTTGGTTTGCCCTATGGTTTTAGGAATGCTGGTGTCGTTTGCCACTGGCAGGATGCGAGGACCACTGTGGTCTGTGACAGAATAAGATCCAGGATGGCCAGTCCAACACTTCATCCGTTGATCCATGGTATTAAGCCATTCCTGCATCACTATGAAGGAAAGCCTCAGACTGGGCAACCTACAAGAGAAAAATGTAATTGGCTTTTGATTCTGCAGGTTTACAGGAAATATGGCATCAACATGTGCTTCTGGGGAGGCCTCAGGAAGCTTTCACTCAGGGCAGACGTTAAAGTGGGAGCAGGTACTTCACGTGGCCAAAGCAGGAGCGAGAGGGTCGGAGGGAGGTGCCACACTTTACAACAACCAGATCTTGTGAGACTTCACTCACTACTGCGAGGCCAGCGCCAAGCCTTGAGGGATCCTCCCCCAGACCCAAACACCTCCCATTGGGCTGCACCTCCAACACTGGTGCGTCCCTGGTACTGGAGCGCAGTGTGTAGTGTCCTTACTGCCTTAGTTAGACAGGGGTCTTATCCCACTAGCAGACCATTCCTTGGTCAGAGTGAAGTCCTGCAGTGTATGCAAAAAGATGATATAAATTATTTTCATTGGTGGCCATGGTAATTCCAGCATCCACACAAGTGACAGATATTTCCCCCTTTTGGGTAGTGAACTGGCTGTAGTCTTTGTTCTCCACATAGAGGTCCTTTAATAGTTCAGTCATTCAGTGGCCACTTTCTGGATCTGATAGTGAAGCTCTTAGGAATCAGAAATGATGGGTCAAAAATATGTATTAAGATATGGTAGCAGGGGTGGCTGGCATGGCCATCGCCACTGTGTGAAGTTGGCCCATCCAGGCTGGCATGGATGCCTTCTCTCCTCTGGGATGGTGGGCAGAGACCATCTATGTCCAGTATAAGTCAAGAGATGACCATTCACTGGCTGGCCATCTGTGAGTTATATCTGGGAAATTACAGGAGGCCCCATCTGCTTGTAGTTTCCCAGAGCCCTCTGTAAATCAAGAAATGCCAAGTGGCCTTGGCATTCAGCCTGCAACAGTCCATTGTTAGTCTTCATGCCCCGAAGGCCTTTTTGACCAGTCAAATTGGGCTGTTATATTGCAATAGGATGTTTTGTATCAAATCCAGAATTAACAAAGCAATGTGCAATTCTGCACTCAGTATGCAGTTGGGCTTTTGTTGAATAACCCACTGGGACTTGGGGAGCTTAGGTGACAGGCAGGAGTGGATATGTCCCATTGTTATGACTCAAATTCTTGGCTGTGAGGGGCATAGCTTCTCAGGCAGCAGTGATGTTCTGTACCAGAGCAGCTAACGTGCCAGTGCCTATAATAATGCACTCAGGGGATAGGAACCACAGTCACTGGCACACAAAATGGCACAAAAACCCTCATTCAAAGCAGATAAGCACCTTCAGTCACTGTGTTCATCCTAAAACTTCCTGATGTCATCAGTTTAATTTTTCTCTCTTTCCTCCTTTTAGCTTGACAGCAGTATAGGGCCACTGGTCTCTGGTGGGCACCTGGAGACCTTAACCTTACCTCTAATTGCACCATCCAGCTAGATGTTTGAGTCTGCATTACCCTTTATCAAACAACCATGCTAACCATGCTGTGTGAGACTTCCCTGGGCTTTCTCCATATCTGTCCTTTGAAAAGGAGCTCTCCCTCTTGGTCAGGTCCCACATGTGTTGGTTCTCACTCAGAGACCGCAGGGATCATCTGAGACTCTCTTTCTTATCCCCTCTCAAGTGCCTCAGGTTGCTGCTGAGTTCCCACTCTACCTTACCACATAGAAGATTCTTAAAATTGAGGGAAAAGCACCAGTGAAATCCCAAGTGAAAATGGGCAGGGAGCCAGGCTCCTTGCCACTGTGTCTCAGCTGGAGCAGCCACCAGAGATTTGTGGGTCCCTGAGTCCAAGGGAATGCCCACCTCGCCACCTGCCATGTCCCAGAGCCTTCTGGAGTCTCTGGGGGCTCCCAGGGTCTCAAGCCTGGCTCGGTGCAGGCCTCCTCTTTTCTTTGCCACCGCAGGCTGGCACGGATGCCTTCTCTCTTCCGAGAGAGTGGGGAGAGACGCCTGGTGGCTGCCTCATTCCTCTGATGGGGATGGGGAGTCAGGAAGGTGAGGGTCACTGGGAGCTCCCCAGGCTCCCTGCCAACTTCTCCATAAAGAAGTTGTTGGT